TGTATGGTGTGTGTGTCCCTGTGTGTGTATGCATGCCCCTCTCTCTCTCTCTCTCTCCTCTCTCTCTCTCTCTCTCTCTCTCTCTCTCTCTCTCTCTCTCTCATGCTCTCTCTCTTTCTTGTGTTTGAATTGTGCCCCATCTGCTCCATCCTATGCAATATTTGTGCTGCTTTAATCCAGCCCAGGGAAGGATTGCTGAGGACTTCTATTCAGCATTGTATTTCAGACACAGGCTGCCTGCAGAGGGCAGGTCACACAGCCCGGAGAGTCTCAGGAAATTCACCTGATGACAAGGGTGGAAAGGGAGGGGTCTGAGGGTGGAAGGGGAGGGATCTGAGGTTGGAAGGGGAGGGGTTTTCCAGTTTCCTCCTTTTAAAAATGCAAGCACAGTGGAGAAAAGTAACAAAGCTGAATGGGGTACTGGGTTCGGGGAAGGGGCATCCTTCCTGACTCACTGGATGTATGGGCCATTTCTTCTCTTGCTGAGAGCGCAGTTTTGTTCTGTGGGAATCTTGGGGAGCTGCCACAGGATGGACTCTAAGCTGCTGACATTAGCAATTTTGACCTTGCCTAGACAGGACATTTCACTTTGATTAGTGCTTGTAGATTTTGGAATTAGCTTTTCCAGGGACCCACTGAAGAAAAGACTTTTGTTGTCCTTTTTAACCCATGAAGACATAGATGTGGCTCATTTTGGGGGTTTGCATTTGGGAGGACTTTTACATTGACTGGGCTGGACCTATGGGGTTCTGCAGAGAGAATGTACTTTCAGAAAGCAAACTTGAACACCCATTTTAGGGGGTAAAGGCAGGATAGTTAATGGACCTGGGTAATTCCTTAGGAAGTGAGGAGGATGGGAAGATAAGAAATGAGCGAGAATAGCCAAGTGCCACTCCCTTTGCCCCTTAGAGACAAGCCCTGAAGTTGCATCTCTGAGCCATGTGCCACAGGGTGTCAATATAGGGTCTTTCCACTAGCCAGAGACACACTGGACCACAGCCACCTCCCAAAAGCTCTGAGATGGAGAAGAAGATGCCAGGTGAGAGTCATTACCACTCTAGCAAAGAGAGAGACCAATTGTTCCCTTCAACTAGAGGCAGGAATTGAAGAGTGTAAGCCCTGGTTCAGGGCAGGAAGGCTCTGTTATGTGTCTATTTCTTCTGCTATAAGATGGAGGTAAAAATGGGCCCTGAGTGAATCAATCAATGTGGAATATAATGCCTGACACCTAGAAAGAACTTAACAAATGTTAGCTATGACATTGTACTCATTGTTCAAGGATGTACAAGGTTCTGTAACAACAAAGTAACCCTGTCGCAAATAAGGACCAACAGCAAGGTGGTATTCTGACCACATTTGAACCATCATATATGTATGCATGCCCATATTCATACACACACAAACGTTCTCACATGAGTCATGCACATATACACACATACACACACATATACATACAAATACACACACATACACATATACACATATGCACACGCACATAAACAGACACATATACACACGCACACACACACTCATATACACGCTTGTGCACACGCATACGCACACACACGTGCTCACACACACACCCCTTACTTATCAGTGTCAGGTTTTGTGAATCAGTTTTATAAACATTAAACTGTTTACATGAACTCCTAGTTCAATGCTTTTTTTTTAAAACAAGAGCATGTATGTAAATTAGGACATATACTTATTCATCAATGTGATCTCGCTGATAATCAAATATTCTCCATTTTTTATTATTAAGACCTAATGAGACACTTTCTTACCTTCGGAAGCCTGTATTTGTCCCTGAGGTGGACTCGTAGGCATGCCCTCTCTGCCTTTTTCTGAGTAAATGCAGCATCTCTCTCCATCCTAAAAACAGTAAAGAATAGGAAACAGGATCATAGGAGATAGAGGGTCCCACACATTCCAGGATGCTTGGGGAGCAGGACCCTGGGACATATTGCCATTGACCAATGACATTTGGGGAAATGTGGACTTTCCCCTCCAAGTCCCTGATACTTGCTTCTCTTTTACTATCATTATGGCCTCCAGCCCTCTGGACCTCTAAGCCCTCAGGCAGCATGTCCGGGAATGTCTTTGTGAAGTATACAGAGAGCATCGGAAGGAGGACTGTCCATGGACTGTGTGGTCCTGCACCCTGAGCCTCAGCATCACCCGAAGGGAAGGCTGATTCCTCTTTGGCTGCCTCAGAACCTTTTAAACAGGAGGCTACTTTTCCGATAAGCCCCTCCCTGGGCTCTTAAGGAAGCAAAAACCAAACTGGCCAATTTCAGGACAGAGATATTCTTTGCCTGTGGTGTCTGGAGATAGGATGCTAAGTTGCTTTTTAGAACTGCTGCCAGATTCCAGTGACAATGTTTAAACAGTGTCCTTTCATCAGAAGCACTGTCTACAAATGAGGCGGTGTCTGCGCTCATCATGCCGACCAGACTGGGAGCCTACTCTGGGGAGCCTACTTCAGTGGTTCTCATCGTGTGAGTCTGGACCCTTTGGGAGTCACATATCAGATATCTTACATACTTACACTACAATTCGTAACTAGCAAAATTACAGTTAGGAAGTTGCAACAAAGATAATTTATGGTGTGTGGGGGGGTCACTACCACATGAGGAACTGTACTAAAGGGTCACAGTGTTTGGAAGGTTGAGAACCGTTGATCTAATTGGATCCATGGTTAGGCCAACTTGAAATAGACTCCCTGGTTTGTGCACAAGTGTAAAGCTTTGGGGAATGTGTGCAAAGCTCACAAGAATTGCCTCCTTCCCTAGTTGCCCTCAGAAGTACAAGATGAACGCTGAATCTATCCAAAGGCACTGTCAAATGGCTGTATAGGAATGGACCATTTGGATAAATGAAGTTTCTTTGGGAAGCTAGGATGAAGACTGAGAAAGACAAACTTGAAGCCTGGCTTGTATGACAAGTGAACTTGAAGGCCATTGGCTGGCACGTGGTCCAGGTCATAGAGGGCTCTCTGTGAGTGAGATCTGGCTGCTAAGGAAGACAGGAAAGCAGCCCTATGAGGACAGAACAATGCCAAGAGTTCAAAAGAGTGTTCATGGCCACTCAGTAGTCATGTGGGTCTCCTGCACACCCAAGGGAAGCCTGGTAAGCTTTTTGCTATGGACTCTGTGGGGCATTGCATGAACATAAATTCTGTTTTCATTTTTTAGGTGACATTTGGCTCCTGTTTTTGTTTGTTTATTTGTTGTTTACTTCAAGTTGGGAAGTAATCCTAACCATTACAAGAAAAGCTGACTTTGAAGATGGGACACACATGAAACGAGCCATCAGATTAAATGGCTGATCACCAGGTGCCTTGGGCTCAAGTGTTCTTGACTCGGTTCTACCTTCCAGAACATTCTGGAATAGGCCCAAGATAACGCTGCATTCAACCTTCGAATTTTTTAGAGAAAAAAATAGAAAAGGCCATTTACCCAGTGCCTTGTGGTATGGGTAGGGAGCAAATCCTTTCTGCTCAATATTTTATTAAGAAAGCTTTCAAACATACAGAAAAGTTGAAAGAACTTTAGGCTGAAAGTCACATTTCAATGACTTAGCTTCTCCAGTCTGTGTCTCATGTTTTAACACATACCTATCCTCTGTCTGTCCATTCAGTCATCTTACTTTTTGATATATTTAAAGCTATAAAACTCACCACAGCTCCCCAGAACACTTCAGCATACATATTATTAGCTGGGGTAACATATTTATCTATACTTCCCCTGATTTTCTTTTGAAATAAAAAAAAAACTGCATGCAATTCAATTCCCAAGCCTTAAAGTGTACTATTTGGTGATGCCCCCGCCCCCAACACCCACATCTATGTCCCCCAAGCCCTTTAATCAGAAAGACTGAAAACTGGTTTTTCTTGACCAATTACATCAAGGCCAATTATCAGTGTCCTAATTGTTGTTAAGCTGTGCTAAGTGTTAAGTTGTGCTAAGCATGGTGGACAAAGTCACACAGTGTTGTTCACCTCCATCTGTATCAGTAGCATCCAGAGGCAGGGATGCTGCAGGATTCTGCTTAGCAGGACCAATTTTCATGGGCTTAGAGGTAGTAGAGTCAAAGGAAGGGCATCCTCAGAAGCCAAGAGCCATCAACCTGGGCACTGAAGGCATGCACTGGGGATGCACTCCCTTTGCTCTGCAGGGCAGTGAAGGCTGGGTACTCACTTCTCTTCAATCATCTGCTTCTGGTATTCCTCGTATTCCTCTCTAGTCATCCCTTTAGCCGCTGCAGGGTCTGAGGTGCTTCCTTCTTCTTTCTTTTCTTCAGATGCACCTCCAAATCCTAAATTCTTTACCTGGTTACTTATCATGTTTTTCACAAAGAAAGCCATTGTCTCGGCCTTGGAGAACTGAAACCAGGTCAAAGATCGACAAAAACAACCCCAACCAAACCGAAGCAAAACCTCCAAATATTTTCAACCACAGCCGCACATTTGGGAGCGAAGGATTTGCGCAGCCTCCTCTGTCCAAGGGCACAGCGGTAGGGGAGAGTGCTTTTGCTAGTCATAAGCTGGATTAGAGGGCAAACTCTTAGTATGGAGGCAGATGGTTCCGATTACTAAAACCCACGGTCAGATGCAACCCTCTGCCTTATGATTAATACACTCAGCTAATTTCACAGGGCAGAAGCCCCACCCATCTCTGCCCTGTTCTCCTTAGCCTTCTAAATTTTATTTTGCTTTTGGCCAGAGCTGGAGATTGAGAGCAGGGCTTTGTGCATGTCAGGCCAGCATACTACCTCTGCACAATGTTCCCATTCCCTAAAGTTCAAATTATATACCCAACAGGGCTTCATCAACAGTCCCGTTTCCATGACATTAATTGGAGCCAACTGATTATATGACTGCTGTGGAATTTCCACATCTCTGCCCCAGACAACAAACATACTATTGGAAATAGTCCAGTGAGACTCAACCCCCGAATGCTTTATGAAGCAAAAGTAATGCTTTTGATCCATGTTTTATCTCACCAGACTCTAAGACTTAGACAAACATTGCAAAAATTGAACATCAGTTCCGTTTTGTCCCACTACATGGGGAATAGTGTTTCACACAGAAACACATGTGCCATGCAAGGGGGGTCCAAAAGGTGAGGCATGGTCTTGAGTTTACACAGCAAGATTTGCTTAGCTTCTACTACACGAAAGTGCCGCTCATCTTCCTGAGGAGGATATGTTTGACCCTGAGATAGGACCCAATGGGAGGAAAGTCCTCAGTATGTACCTGTGCACTTTTTTCTTTATACACAGTGCACATCCTAGGTGACCTGCACAAACACAGCTACTGCTCTGTCAGTGTTTTGTACCAGGACATCCTCTCTGGTTTTTATCCGGTCAAGAACTGAGCGTAGCTAAGACTTTAATCCAGTGGTTCTCAACCTGTGAGTTGCAACCCTTTTAGGGGGGCGGGGTCAAATGACATTTTCACAGGGATTGAATATCAGATGTCCTGCATATCAGATATTTACTTTAGAATTCATAACAGTAGCAAAATTACAGTTATGAAGTAGCAATGAAAATAATTTTATGGTTTGGGGGGTCACCACAACATGAGGAATTGTATTAAAGGATCACAACACTAGGAATGTTTAATCTATGATTGAACATTTCTAATTAAAAGCTGGGGAGGGGACTGGAATTATTTGTAGTTCATGACCATTATTTTCTTAGCAGGAACAAGTCTTCCCAGGTGCTTTAGTTAGGGTTTACTGTTGTGAACAGACACCATGACCAAGGCAACTCTTATAGGGACAAAATTTAATTAGGGCTGGCTTATAGGTTAAGAAGTCTAGTCTATTATCATCAAGGTGGGAGCATGGCAGAGTTCAGGCAGGCATGGTGCAGGAGGAGCTGAGAGTTCTACATCTTCATCTGAAGGCTGCTAGCAGAATACTGACTTCCAGGCAGCTAGGTTGAGGGTCTTAAAGCCCACACCCACAGTGACATACCTACTCCAACAAGGCCACACCTACTCCAACAGGACCACACCTCCTAGTAGTGCCATTCCTTGGCCAAGAATATACAAACCATCACATTGCATTCCCTGGCCCCCATAAGCTTGTTTAAACACATGAGTCTATGGGGGCCAAACTTACTCATAGCATAACAAAAAACACATTTAGTCCATCTATCAAAGCCTCCATAGTCTATTGCAATCTCAGCAATGTTAAAAGTACAAAGTTCAAAGTCTCTTCTGAGATTCATCCAATCACTTAAGTGTAATCCCCAAAGCAAGACAGGAAACCAGCCGAACAAACTCCAAACTCTATACCCCCATATCTAATATCAAATCAGTTTTCAGATCTCCAACTCCTTTTTCATCTTGGTTGACTGCAACCAACTTCTTTCTTCTAGGCTGGTTCTTCTCCCTGTTAGAAGCTTTCCTCAGCAGATAGACCACAGCTCTGGCATCTCCAACATCTTGTGGTCTAAAAGGCAACTTCAATGATACAGCTTCTTGTTTCAATGTCTGGGATCCACACGTGATCTTCTGGGCTCCTCCTAAGGGCTGGCGTCACTTCTCCAGCTCTGCCCTCGGTAGCATTCTAAGCTCAGGTTGATCCACTCCACTGCCGCTGCTGTTCTTGGTGATTACCCCATGGTACTGGCATCTCCCGTACACAGGGATCTTCCACTGCAACTAGGCTTCACCAATAGCTTCTCTTAAGCTCTCTTCATGGTGCCAAGCCTCAACTTCTCTGCATGACCCCTTCAGTCCTGGGACATCAATTGTAACTGAGGCTGCACCTTCACCAATGGCCTTCCATGGCCTCTCATAGTGCCAAGCCTCAGCTGTTCTTCATGACACCTTCATGCTTTCAAAACTAGTACTACCTGGATGACTCTTACACATTACCAAATTCAGCTGCAGCTGAGGTACAACCTTGGCTATCTCTAGAACATAGCTTCTTTGTGCCCTAAAAAAACACTTCCCAGAAAATTTCACCTCAGTGATGCTGGTCTCTTCTTAATCACCGCTAATTTCTTAGTTCCAGCTAGCCAGCATCAATTGTTCTAGTAGTTCCTTCTGTTTTTCACTCTAAATCCAGAGCCACATGGCCAACACTGCTGAGTTCTGCTGCTTGCAGGAGCTGGAACATGGCCCTCTTGTTCTATTACATTATCACTAACATTCTGTTTTCTAACTCCTTCACTGACTAAGCTTGGCTGTCCTGGCCACTTGCTCTGTAAACTGACTTTGAACTCAGAGATCTGCATGCCTGTCTCCTAAGCACTGAGATTAGAGTTGTGGTCCACCAAGCCTGAGTTTAAGTTTTTCTTCACCTAAAATTTACTCTAATTTGTTCTAAGCTGGCCTTGAACTCAGAGGTCTGCTTGTCTGCCTCCTGGACCTGAACTTAGCTAGCTGGCTTCTTGCCCCAAGGTCATTACTCCCTGATCCGATTTAATGTCTTTGAACACAGGATTCTGCTCCATTTCATTTCCTGGTGCCTCTTTAATACTCAACCCATATATTTTATATTTTCCCTTTCTCGACTTGCTATGCCTATTTAAATTAAAAAGCTCTTCATGAGACTTAGCCAGAGAACAACGTCTTTGATGGGCGTTTCTGAGACTTCCTTTGTCAATGCAATTAATCTGAGTCTCTTCACCTTAGCCTCAGGCAGACTCTTCAGACAAGGGCAAAAAGTAGCCATGTTCTTCACCAAAATACCACAGAACAGTCTCTAGGCCACATATTGAAATTTCCCACTGAAATGACTTGGGCCAGGTCCACACAGTTCAGATCACTCTCAGTTACGAAGTCTTCAATATTCCTACTAGGATGGCCCATTAAGCCCAATTTAAAGCATTCCACTGCTTTCCAAATCCAAAGTCCCCAAATCCACATTCTTCCAAACAAAAGCATGATCAGACCTATCACAGCAATACCCCAGTCCCTGGTACCGACTTCTGTCTTAGAGTTTACTGCTGTGAACAGACACCATGACCAAGGCAACTCTTATAGGGACAACATTTAATTAGGGCTGGCTTACAGGTTCAGAAGTCTAGTCCATTATCATCAAGGTGGGAGCATGGCAGAGTCCAGGCAGGCATGGTGCAGGAGGAGCTGAGTTCTACATCTTCATCTGAAGGCTGCTAGCAGAATACTGACTTCCAGGCAGCTAGGATGAGGGTCTTAAAGCCCACACCCACAGTGACACACCTATTCCAACAAGGCCACACTTACTCCAACAGGACCACACCTCCTAATAGTGCCACTCCCTGGGTACCATCACACTGGGCAAAGGCCACCATCCCTAAGAATGAATGGAAGTAGAAAACCTGGGTTTTGGTGGTTTTTGCATAATATTCACTGTACCTATTTTAAATTCTATTTTCCCTATTTCTAATCTATTTTTAAAATGCTGCTCAGATAGCTTTGACATGAAAGACTAAAAATAGATACTGTTGAAACTTCACCCCACAATTGGAGTGTTCTCCAACTGAAAACAAACATTAGCACCCATCCCCACTTTTGTTTTTCAATTGGTGGCTTGAATCTTAATATATTCAAACATCACCTCTAAATTCCTGCTCATGGTGAGCTATACCTCATTTCCTCAAGGGGTCTCTCAGAGCTTTTAAGACTAAATTCTAAGTCTTAACCTTTTGATCTTGTGTACCCTTTCCTCCCTATAGTTTAGTGCATAAAAATTCTCTCTTAGAAAATACTGCACATCCAAAACACCTTTGTCTTCCATAGCAAAGGACAGCCTGCTGACATTCTGTCCTCTGATCAGAAAGTGAACCCCTGAAAGCTACGTAAACATTCAGCCTGGATCTGATGAGTCTGAATCTCAGAGTAAGTTCTATCCCATAGCAAAACAATGAAACACCAAAATAATAAAGCTTAAAAACCCATTTTGTTATAGTTAGTTAAGTTACTTGGATTTATTTTTAAAAAGCCAATGCAGTTAATAAAGAAGGCATCAATTCTAAATTAGCCTGTTAAACATTTTCCCCTTGTCTCTGGGTGGAGTGTGAACACTCACGAATGTGCGCATGTGTTCACTCCCATTCTCGTAAAACCTCTTAGGTGTAGTCAGACCAGCATGAAAATTGAATGTCCCTTGCCAGGGCTTTGCTTTGGGAAATGAACTTCTGACTCGCTCCCCAGCCAACCCTCCCAACAGCAAGTGGAACCACATTCCAACTCGCTTCTTGCTTCTGACTGAATATCAGCATCTTTTCTATTTGACAACTAGTAGCTATGTTCTGCCACTTGCAGAATCTCTGTAGAGGATTTCCCCAAGAGGGCAAAATAAACCCCACAGGATTCATGAGTTGAATGGATAGGTATTACCGTTCCCGTGCGTTTTTCTGTGAGTTAAGTCTGTACACCTCACTGTGGCTTGTGAGGCCTTCCATGACTTGGGCTGTGCCAGTTTGCCAACTTCCTCTACCACTCCCCTTTATTGCCAAGCCTCCTCACAACACATTGATATCTTCATCGTCCCTTT